TTGGAGAGTGTTTGGTTGGCTAAGGTTGGAGAACTTTTGCTGTAGACCAGGTTTAGGAGGTTTGATCAAGACACAAGGTCATGGTTGAGGAGCAGCGTACAGAAGTTTGGGATCATACTTGTAGCAGGTTTTCATGATGCAACTGCATTTGTAATTTAGATAAGGACTGCATATCACAAGCTGGGGTGGCTTGGAAGAGAGTATATGAATTATATTTATCCCAAGAAATGAAAAGTATTTGTGCAATAGTGACTGGTGCCCAGAATTTCTTGAAGAAGTTCTAATTTTTTTCAGAGTCTGTGTCATAATTGTTGGTTCCTCTTTCTGAGTTATCCAAACACCTCCACTCTTTGAACAGTCACAACCAAGGTTGCATTGATGATGAAGAACAGGTTTCCAGTTCCTTGCTCTTCTTGTATCCTGTGCTCTTGAAAAAAACACCCACTTGTTTTGCCCTTGTACTTCTGCTAGGAACATCTGCCCAGCAGCTGGATGCATCCTTCAGTACAAATGCCACCTTGGAGATATTCGAGGTTGACTTCAGGGATCCCTCCCTGGACATGAAGCAGAAAGGAACACTTCCTGCCTCAAACAGGTACTAGAGGCTTTTACTGACATATCCATCGGTGGAACTCTCAAGGGTGTTTCTGGTACAAGAAGGGAGAGGAGGAGATCGTGTTTTTGGGATATGAAGTGATCTTTTGGATCAAGTGACCTCTGTCTTCAAGAATTGAATGTTTTTTGTTGGCAAAAATCATGTTGGATGTAAAAGTATAGCAGCTGGACCATTGGAGAGGTCTGAAAGAACTTACGTGGTGGTCATTCAGGAGAGTCATTCTGCATCACGTGAATATTCTGGGGCTAGTGATTTGTAATAAAGAGACTAGAGGCAGAGTGAAACTTGTCTTCCAGCTTTCTAAGACAAGGTGATTTCTTAGGCTCATCAGTGCGAGTGACATTTACACCCAGTGTAAAACCCAGCCTTGATTTCTAACTAGCAGTTTTTACAGTGGATAAAGGTATTTTTCAGATAATAGCTCTAGAAAAGAATACATGTAGTTCTATAATCTAATTTTATGTATAGTGTAGGTTAGAGGAGTTCACCTACCAAATCCCATATGAAGTCCTAAACATTTTAAGGAGGGGGGGAAGAAGAAAAGACCAACTAGCTCTTCCTTTGTGAGTTCCCTGTAAAAGTCTTTGGAAGGAAACTAATTTACTTTTTGCCAGGTAAAAGCCACAGATACCTTCAAAGGGAAATATTTATTTAAGGTGCAGACCGATGATTGTGTTTGATAGATCAGAACGTGGATGAGGTTTTTAGTAATAGAGAGGTTGTCTTGACTTCCACCAAATACTGTGGCCTACGCCAGCTTTATTTTCTTCTTTTTTCTAGGTTTCATAAGCTGATCTGGGGTAACTTTGGAAACGGGTCCCCGGAGTCCTCCGGGGTGATTGTTGGTGGAGGAGATAACGGTGTGCTGACAATGTACAGCGTGCACCGGATCTTGACTTCGAAAAGTGAGCCCGTAATTGGGCAAACAGAGAAGCACTCAGGTCCTGTTCGAGCTCTTGACTTCAACCCTTTCCAGGTATGCGACGTTAAGAAGTGAAAGTTAACCCTCATATTCCAAAAAATATAGTTTTCCTTCCCGTATAGAGATTTATAAACTGAAGGGTCAGTTTTGAACCTGAAAGAGACGTGGTAGTTGTGACGTAAGAGTGGTTGGGGACTCACATTTGGGTTCTGTTCACAGCTTTGCCACTGAATTCCCTTGTGACCTTATCTTTCTGCTTACCAGTGGCAGCTCTCATCTGACTTCAGAAGCTTTTGTGGTGTTTTTTTACTTACATTTATTTTGAAGAAATCTGTCCTTTTTCCCTGTGAAACCCACCTGAGCTTTTCTTTTTTTTCTACAGAGTAACCTCTTGGCTTCTGGAGCCAACGATTCTGAAATTTTCATCTGGGACTTGAATAACTTCAGTGTGCCTATGACTCCAGGGGCTAAATCACAGGTAAAAGAGTTTTCCTCTGGGTAACACCCTTGCAGTTTTGTATCCCAGTAGGCAAAAAGGTGTGAGTGTGCGGAATCATCCTGGTCTAGTCAGTCTGTGAAGGTGAGGGGAATGATCTTGATGTCCACCAGGAGAAAGATGAATCAGAACTTACTGATCATCTTCCTGTTGCGGAGGTGGAAAGAGTGTTATAAGGGCAGGGAAGGTGGGCTGGCAAGCCCTGGAAGGATGCACTTTGTCGTGGATGGGTAAGCTCTTTGTGGATTTGAATCAAGTAACTGACCAGTTTATCTTGTGATCCAGCTGGGGCATGTGTCGTGGATTACAAAGTCTTATTGGACCTTCTCTGAGGAATGACTTTACTTCAGGCTTCAGCTGAAGCTTTTCGTATCTCAGGAAAGTAATATCCCTAGCAGAGCCAATGAACCATTTAATGCATCTTGGCTATTACTCACAGATAATGTTTCCTGGGTTTGAAGAGCAAGAAGCTTCTGATATTGATAATGTTATTCAGGGCAATCAACTCCTAAAAGTGTAAAAATCATAGTAAACTTGCCTAAAAGCAGGCCAAGTTTTTCCTCCAGTAACCCTGCCATTTGTCTTCTTGCCTATCTCCTGCATTGCAGTAGATACTGTAACGGCGATTAGCCTTGAAAGCTTCATCATTTTCCATCCCATTGCACTCCTGAGATCTTGCACAAGGTCATCTTTCCATTTAAGTTCATCCCAGAAGTCAGGGTAGAAGCCTTGATGTTCTCTCAGCTGCAGTTTGCTCTGTGCTGATTTAGGGCACATTTGGCCAATGCAGAATCCAATACCTGCTCCCAAAATGCAAATGTGCTTTGCATAGCCTAGAATCACAGAATGGTTTGGGTTGGA